GGAGGAGAGGGGGGTGTGGGGCCCCCAGCACTGGCTGTCCCCCATGGCTGTGGCTGCAGCCCAATGCAGAGCTCCTGGAGAAATGGCTTTGTCCCCGCCGCCCACGCTCTGACTGCTTTAAGGCTCACGCTGGGCCCGCGATGACTTTTTGATGGAGTGGATGCGGCTCCCTGCAGGGGCCGGCAGTCTGGAGAAGAGAAGGGCCTGGCAGAAAACACACCCAGCTTCCCAGGACGGCCATGTCTCTTCTGCTTTCTCCTCAGAGTCGATTTTCAGGCCGTGGCTCTCCTTCTCAGCCATCTGTAGCTCCCCTCAGTGCGCAGGGAGGGGGGAGGCAGCAGCCGGGCGGCCAGCCTGTGTGGGAACACCTATGGATGTCTGCTGGAACGGCAGGAGCAGAACAAAGTGGCCTTTATGTCCAGCTTTCCAAAAGCCTTTGTGTGCCCTAGAAGCCGGTTATTATTGAGTTATTAAGGCCCAGTGCGCGGGGCCAGGGATGGACACGCTCGAGCGGTCCCAGGCAGCTTCAGCTAGTTCAGGCTCCTCGTCCTGTGACCTAACCTGACTCCTGCTTGCCATCCTTCCTTGGACGGGGGAGCAGGAGAGCGAGGCCAGGGCCTTATAGAAGGTGCTCGGGGCTGCTCACCAGACTGGTCCGTTCAGTTCCCTGGAATCATTTGCTGCATAATCCATTCTGGCAATATTGTGTTTCTTAAAGCACCAGCAATGCAGCGTGGGGGCGGGGCTGTTGCATAAGGACGTAACTGAGACCAGGTCTTCCCAGGTTTCAGCAGGCAGGTTGCTCAGGGAGGTGGGGAGGCCCGAGTGTTCCGGTTGATGTGTGTCGCTGGGGCCAAGGACGAGAGGGTGGGATGGGCGCTGTGGTGTGGGGTGGGGACAGTCCGGGCCAGTTTGCTGAGTACAGGTCTGAGCACAGGTCTGTTCCAGATTGTCACGGATCCCTAGTCACAACACCTGTGAGCTTTGTCATCTGCCCCAAAGCCCCTACTTTCTCAGAGGAAGAGAGGAAACCCACAGAGCCAGGTGACCTGCCCAAGGTCACTCCGGTCCATCAGCGTCCCACTGAGATACCAGGTGTGGCCGCCATCCTCCGGGTCTGCAGGCACAGTGCCCTTTAAATGGCAGTGCCAGTTTAGTGCTGGCGTGGGGACAGATGAGTCCCGGGAAGGCACAGACCGTATTCTTCATTGCCCTTTATGGGGCACGCAGCAGGCTCAGGCACAACCTCTGAAAACACAACAAGATCAACGTCACATCCTCCAGCCGGCTCTGCTGCGCTTCCCTTCACGGAAATATGGAGAACCGTCTTGCTGCATTTGTAGCAATGCAGGTGTCACCCCGTATTGTCAGTCGCTGCCAACCTGTCTCTACCACATGCTGTGTGCGCCCTGAGCACAGAGACTGCGCCCCACCCATCACAGCACGTGGTCAGAGGCAGATGCAGAAGAAATGTTAACGAGTGGAGGTAAAGGAAGTACTTTAGTTAAATATGTAGGGAGAGGATTTTTAACATTTTAATCTTGCCCGCCCAGTGTGCTCTCCGTGGTTAAGCGTTGAGCCAGGAGGTCACGGTTCGATTCCCAGTCAGGGCGCATACTCGATCAATCCCCAGTGTGGGGCATGCGGGAGGCAGCCGATCAATGATTCTCTCTCATCGTTGATATTTCTCTCTCTCTCTCTCTCTCTCTCCCACTCCCTTCCTCTCTGAAATCAATAAAAATACATATTTAAAATTGTAATCCCTCTTTAATTCTATGGGGACTATAGACGCGACGTGGACACCTTCTAGGTGGAGTAAGGGTGGGGTAGCTGCGACAGCCTGGAGGGGCTGTGTCCCCTGGGCCACCGAGCAGTCGGCAAGAAGAGGGACAGACTTCTCTAGGAGTCAGTGATTGGGAAAACCACTCTGGGCTGTGCAGGCAAGCACAGGACAAAGGGCTGGACTGCGGAGACTAACGTTCACGGCGCCCGTTAGCCTGCCCTCTCAGGCGCCGGTCAATGTGCTGTTGATTTCAACTTTTAAAAGTCTTTATGAATATATTTTTCTGAATATAGAGACAAAACTGGCTCGTTGTACAAACAAACAAACACATTTAAGGGCCCCACACCTTACAATTACATAGAAATGTAAAGTGAAAAGTCAAAGGCTGCTGTGACCCACCCCAAACTGTAACCCAATAACCACTGGTAATAGTTAGCGTTCTTCCTTCTAGGCGGTTCCATCATGCAGATACTTTCTTTGCTTTTGATTTTTGGGGTTGTTGGTTGTTGTTTTTTTACATATGTGAAATTATATTCTAAATATCACTCCCCGATGTTTTAAACGTACAGATATATCGTCCAAAATTTCCAGGTCAGCATATACCAATCCAGCCCATTGACTTTTTGCTGCAGCAAAATGTTCCCCTTATATTTAAATAAATCCTAATCACTGGACACGAGCAAGTAGGCCCAAACGCTCTTGCGCAAGGGCTGCGGCCAACATCAGACGTGTCTTTGCAACGTTCATGTCTCCACAGGAGCAAAAGCAGCTCCGTTGATGTCCTACTGAAGACGATGCAGCCAATCAGAATAGGAGCACCCATGTGTTTTAAAAACCAGAGTGGGGTGGGTGTGCAGACGGGGGATAGTGAATATCACAGTGGGTGTCTGGGCTTGGTTTGAGGATTTGTGTAACCATGAAAGAACGGTCCATTCTTGAGAGCAAGAATCTCAACTCCCGACTCTCAAATTCTAAAGCTGTTACTGTTACATTTAATCTAAATTAGGTTTCATCGAACAGCCCAACTTAGGGTCAGCCTGTGTGAAGTTCAAGAGCGTCACTTCACCCACATCCCAGGAAGACCTGCCACTGGACACAGCCTTGGGCTGGCATTCACAGGATCGGTTCCCACTTTTGCCAATGAATGGGCTTCTGGCTTCTTTAGTTACACAGGTAATTGTGGTTTGAAATTCAAAACAACAGTATGACTTTAATAATTCTCCTGAGAAAGAAAAATCCCTGCAGTAAGCAAAGCCGCGAGGGGCTTAGTGACTCGTCTGCTTCGCCTTCTACTAACCATGCAGACAAGTCACTAACCTCTCCTTGTCTGTGAGCAAACAGGTGCTGCCGACTCTGAATCATTATTGTCAAGATCACAGGTAATACATGTAAAACACAAAAGACGAGGTTCAGGTTCGGCAAAGAATGGCAGTAGTATGATTTGCAGTGGAAACTACTAGGAATAAATACCAAGCGAAAGAGGTAAAGATAACGGGCAGGAAGGAGAAAAGAAAACCCAAGGAACATCGGTCCTCAATTGGGACCTTTTTATCACAGGACCCGTGATGCCTGTTTCCCATGGTGCGCTATCGGCCAAGTTCAGTAGGAGGGGTTGTACCTCTATCGTCCTGCCTAATTCTACAGCAAATGTGTGAGGCAAGTCGTCTTCTCCCATTTTATAGACGGGAAAACTGAGACCTATGGTTTATGGCTCTCTCAGATTTATCCATCCTAGACAAACTGGTGTTAAAACTCAGATCAGTTTGTCCCAAACCTACGCTTGTCCAGGTGGCAGGCTGCAGCCCAGCACATAGGCTGCCTCGGTTTCTTGTCTGCTTCACTCCTTTCTTTCCCTGTCCCCCCTCCCTGCCAGCCCCCCACCCCCCATCTCTGTGACAGACTGAGGGCCTCCTTTTTGCCTGTATCAGTCAGGACTCTCTAGGAGTGATGGAGGTCAGTGCAAACTGCTGAAGCACATCAGGGGGAAATTGGCTGGTGCACATGAACAGTCTAAAGGTGGACTTGGACTTCAGGCACGGCTGCATCCAGGGCCTTGGTTAGTGCTCTCAGGGTCTGTCTGTCTCCCCTGTCCCTCTGGGTTCCAGGACTGGCCTTACTCTTCAGAGGCTCTCTCCTCTGGGCTGAAACCTCACAGCCCATAACCCCAGGGAGGACAAGAGAGGGAGCGCCCTTTCTCTGTTCCAGGGTCTAGAGCAGTGGTAGGCAAACTCATTAGTCAACAGAGCCAAATATCAACAGTACTTCTTCAAAATAGACTCGCCCAGGCCGAAAACTGACTTCTGTGCATGGGCCATGAAGTTTCAATCGCACTGTATGTGTGCCCGCACGTGGTATTTTGTGGAAGAGCCACACTCAAGGGGCCAAAGAGCCGCATGTGGCTCTCGAGCCGCAGTTTGCCAACCATGGGTCTAGATCATCCATAAATCAAATCTTAGCGAGAGTCACATGCCCATTTCTCAACCAATCACTGAATCGCTGTGCTTGAGGTGGGGTGAGTTCTGTTGGCCAGGCCTCTGGCTCAGGCCCACCACTGTGACCAGCGCCTTTGGGGCCAGCCCTATGTGAGTCACAGGAACGGGTCCCTATAGGACATAGACTCCTACAGTGACAGGAAGAGCAAGAAGCTCTGCACAGACCAAAGCCACAGAGGGCCTCTGCAGAATCCTTGTTCTTCGCTCAGCAGCAGCTCACACACCCCGTCCTTTGCCTGAGAAAAACTCCTACTTTAGCCATGTGGGATTCCATAACGGTGTCTTTTTCACGTGCTTCTCTTGCATGATTATGCACAGTCTGTACTCGCTGCCTGCAAATCCCCCCAGGACACCGTGTGTCCTGCCCCTGCTTCCCACCTGATTGGCGTAACAGCACTGTCGTGTTGATTGTTTTTTTCTGCTCTGGCTGCAATTTACAGAAAGCTGTGTAATTAAATGGCTTAGGCCGGGAGGAAAACGGTGTTCTCCCACACACGAGGAAGTCCCAGGCAGGGCAGCACGAGGTCAGCCAAGTCCGTGGCTCGGGCTCCATGTCCCCTCGCCATCCCCTGTGTCAGCTCGTCCTCAGGGTGCTCCCCTCGGGGCTGCAGGACGGCCGCACGGTCGGGCGCCACACCAGATGGACAGCAGCCTGCAGAAGGCACGACTCCGGCTGCCCCGTTACTTCTTTGGCCAGAACCAAGTCACCGGCGTTACCTGCCCCGCGCTGACCAATCGGATGGCCCTTGGTATTGACATTTTAATTCATTAGATTCAATAAAAGCAAGTGTCCCCAGTCATGCTGGCCACGTTTCCATTATTACAGCACCTCCATGGGACACCCCCTCCGCCCGTCACCGGCAAGAAGAATACAATGACTCTGATCGTAAAACATCAGTCATGGAGCCATCGGTGATCATTATGAAACTCCGATTTTGTGCCTTGACTTTGCGGCAGCTGAGAATGCAAAGATAGACCAGTCCGTACAGCTCCAGGCACGTATCCTCTGGCAATAGATGGATGTGTAGACAGCCACAAAGAAAGGCGCCTTTCGTAAAGTCCGAGGACCAAAGGGCTTCTCCGTGCAAGGGCGGGTGCCTCTGACGGAGACCTGGAGGGCCAGCTGCAGAGCGTGTCCACGGCCACAGCGTCCCGGGTGGAGTGGAGACCTCGGTTAAGCGGCCGTGGCAATCGCCCAGACAAGCGAAAATGAAGGTTAAGAAAGAGCAGAAACCAGGAGACAAAGGCGGGGCATTGCCTTCCGAGTCTGAGTCCATTGAAAGTTAAGGACTAGACTATCTTTGTAAAAAAAAAAAAAAAAAAAATCAGGATTTCAGAGTATAGGTTGGGGCAAAGTAGGTTTACAGTTGTTCTTATGGAAAATAATACAATAATTAATAAATAATAATACAAGAATAAACTCCATTCGCTGACTCAAAACCGTACACCTAGTTTTGTCCCACCCTGCATTTAAAAGAATATTAATAAATAATAATACAAGAATAAACTCTGTTTCGCTGACTCAAAACTGTACACCTAGTTTTGTCCCACCCTGCATTTAAAAGAAAATTTTTGGTTTTCTCCAAGTTCATATTGTAAAACAGTCCATTAGGAGAAATGGTGAGAGGACCCCAGGGCCACAGCCGTTTGTGTGGGATCTGGACCCTCCGTGAGAATTTTACCGTTGACAAAACTCTCCCTTTAGTCCCCAGCTGCCCCTGCATGAATGTCTATAGGACATACTAGTACATATTTGTTATGACTCAGGCATCTAAATTGAGATTCAAATGCTCCTTTAAATTGTAACAGGGTGATTGGGGTTTAGCGGTGTCTTTTCAAGGGATGGCTGGGTTGCATTTTCAGGGGTGGTTTGGTCCATGAAATGGGCCCTGTGGGTTACACCCCGTCAGCACCACTGCTCCTCTCTCCAGAGCAGCCCCAGTAGCAGGACAGACTCAGCGTGTGCTCCTGCGGTCCCCTCGCCGGGCCCTGGTGAGGAGCCCTGGGCCTGCGCTTGACAGCCATGGAGTGTGGACTCCTCGCTTCTCAGTTTGTCCGACAACACCCCCTCCAGCCTTGTGAGCAGGTGCCACACCCTGTGCTGAGTGTTGAGGCTGTAATTTCTCTCCCTTGAATCACAGACTTGCCTTCACCATGAAGTCCAGGAAGCTTAACCTTCGGGCCCTCATTTGCATCGGCCCTTCTCCAAGGTCCTGGGGGGGCTTGCCAATGGGTTCGCATGATCATAGGTTTTTGTGAAATTTGCAAAAGGGGGGCATTTTTATTGCAATTGGTTAAGAATGCTGCTTCTTTTGCTCTGAGTCCCACTCCACCATGTTTCTCTTCTGGTGGGGTGATGTT